CGGATGTTTATGTGCAGGCATGGTTTGAATCACTGACTTTATCAAACACATGTTTCTATTACAAACTTTTTAAAGCGCAAATAAGTTTGGAGTGTTATCTCTCTAAGATAACAGTAAAGATGTTCCGAGTTCATCTCATGATTTATTTACAGAAACTGGACGCTATACTAATATCAATCGTCATGAGAGACTAGGCAATGGCTATGCCATTTAAATACAGTCGAGGATGAGTACCACTTCCTTCTTGTTTGTCCCCTGTAATCAGATCTTAAAAGAAAATATTTACTAAATCATTTTTACCATTACTAACAAGTACAAACTTAGTAATAGTTCAGAATTTATTCCATGCCATATTACCAAGAAAAATAATACTATTTGAAAACATAATGTAAATGTTACTACTCGGGCGAATAGTAAGGTATGTGTGCTTTATGTACTATATGGGCTTGTGGCCTCTTTAGTACGGAATAAAGGTTGATTGATTGATATCCATGTTTGAAGAATGTTTACAGTCCAGGGCCTCCTTCCACAAAGCACTAAGATGATCGTAAGTCACTAAGGTAACCTTCGTGCAATGTTGCTTCGTGAAAGGAGCCCCATGTTTACAGATGCAGTACGTAGGGCTGCGAGTTGTATGTAGAGCCAGTGTGGTAGTTATGCACATAAACCCCAACGATTATGGTATGATCAGGGTGTAGCTATCTCCCATGTGAGAGAGATAGGTTACTTGGAGTGTTTAGAATGAATAAAATAATAGTTAAGACAGTATTTACAGGCAAGAAATGCTTCTACAGCTGTAACAGTTGTAGGGGACAAAAAGTGCTTGTATGTGAATAGATTGATTGAATAATCTTTCAAGTGATGTTTTGTTACATCTACTTACTGTTTTATTAAATGGTCTTTTTGATAGTTGCGTTTTCCACGACTCATGGACGATAGGATTGATAGTCCCATCACATAAAAAGGGAGATCTTAAAACTACATCTAATTATCGAGGCATAACGATCTTGAGTATTTTAGTAAAATTTATGTTTCAGTCTGAAATGCTAGAGTAACAGTTTGGTGCGATGCGTAATAAAATCACAGGTCGAATTTTGGCATGGTTGTAGATAATATCTTCATCTTTCAGTCTGTTGCCGGTCGACTCTTGCGGGAAAGGAAAGGTAAGGTGTCGCTCTCGTTAAGTTTAGATGTAGTTCTCACCAACTGGAAACTGAGATGGGGAGATATTCCAATGTTCCCAGACATAGTTACCAACGGAACTATATATTTCCCACAGTCAAACTCGTCTTACCGTGTCGCATGCATTTGAAATCTATATGACTCCTTTATACGATTTAGGAAACGTGTACAACACTGACTTATGTTTCAAATCTCCACCTGAAGCGCGCGTAAAATCGCTTTGTCCCCATCCTCGGCTTCCTGGTGAGAATACACTAGATTATTTAAATATCAAAATACATGTATCAGACAAAACAAGTGAAGCACTTTACGAAGACTTTGACATATTCGAGATCTACAAAAATCCTCGTCTTTGGCAATGGCAGATATAAATACTGACGTCTGATGGTGTGACGGTGGCAGATATAAATACTGACGTCTGATGGTGTGACAGTGGCAGATATAAATACTGACGTCTGATGGTGTGACGGTGGCAGATATAAATACTGACGTCTGATGGTGTGACAGTGGCAGATATAAATACTGACGTCTGATGGTGTGACGGTGGCAGATATAAATACTGACGTCTGATGGTGTGACGGTGGCAGATATAAATACTGACGTCTGATGGTGTGAAAGTGGCAGATATAAATACTGACGTCTGATGGTGTGACGGTGGCAGATATAAATACTGACGTCTGATGGTGTGACAGTGGCAGATATAAATACTGACGTCTGATGGTGTGAAAGTGGCAGATATTAATACAGATGTCTGATGGTGTGACACTTGCCGATATTAATACTGATGTCTGATGGTGTGATGGCAGATATTAATCTGATGGTGTGTGTGACAGTGGCAGATATTAATATTGATGTCTGATGGTGTGACAGTGGCAGATATTAATACTGATGTCTGGTGATGTGATACTTGCAAATATTAATACTGACGTCTGATGGTGTGACAGTGGCAGATATTAATACTGATGTCTGATGGTGTGAAAGTGGCAGATATTAATACAGATGTCTGATGGTGTGACACTTGCCGATATTAATACTGATGTCTGGTGATGTGATACTTGCAAATATTAATACTGACGTCTGATAGTGTGACAGTGGCAGATATTAATACTGATGTCTGATGGTGTGATACTTGCAAATATTAATACTGACGTCTGATGGTGTGACAGTGGCAGATATTAATACTGATGTCTGATGGTGTGAAAGTGGCAGATATTAATACAGATGTCTGATGGTGTGACACTTGCCGATATTAATACTGATGTCTGGTGATGTGATACTTGCAAATATTAATACTGACGTCTGATGGTGTGACAGTGGCAGATATTAATACTGATGTCTGATGGTGTGATAGTGGCAGATATTAATACTGACGTCTGATGGTGTGACAGTGGCAGATATTAATACTGATGTCTGATGGTGTGACAGTGGCAGATATTAATACTGACGTCTGATGGTGTGACAGTGGCAGATATTAATACTGACGTCTGATAGTGTGACAGTGGCAGATATTAATACTGATGTCTGATGGTGTGACAGTGGCAGATATTAATACTGACGTCTGATGGTGTGACAGTGGCAGATATTAATACTGATGTCTGATGGTGTGACAGTGGCAGATATTAATACTGATGTCTGATGGTGTGAAAGTGGCAGATATTAATACTGACGTCTGATGGTGTGACAGTGGCAGATATTAATACAGATGTCTGATGGTGTGACACTTGCCGATATTAATACTGATGTCTGATGGTGTGACAGTGGCAGATATTAATACTGACGTCTGATGTGATGGTGTGACAGTGGCAGATATTAATACTGATGTCTGATGGTGTGACAGTGGCAGATATTAATACTGACGTCTGATGGTGTGACAGTGGCAGATATTAATACTGACGTCTGATGGTGTGACAGTGGCAGATATTAATACTGATGTCTGGTGATGTGATACTTGCAAATATTAATACTGACGTCTGATGGTGTGACAGTGGCAGATATTAATACTGATGTCTGATGGTGTGACAGTGGCAGATATTAATACTGATGTCTGATGGTGTGACAGTGGCAGATATTAATACTGACGTCTGATGGTGTGAAAGTGGCAGATATTAATACAGATGTCTGATGGTGTGACACTTGCCGATATTAATACTGATGTCTGATGGTGTGACACTTGCCGATATTAATACTGATGTCTGAAGGTGTGACAGTGGCAGATATTAACATTGATGTCTGATGGTGTGACAGTGGCAGATATTAATACTGATGTCTGGTGATGTGATACTTGCAAATATTAATACTGACGTCTGATGGTGTGACAGTGGCAGATATTAATACTGACGTCTGATGGTGTGACAGTGGCAGATATTAATACTGACGTCTGATGGTGTGACGGTGGCAGATATTAATACTGACGTCTGATGGTGTGACAGTGGCAGATATTAATACTGACGTCTGGTGGTGTGACAGTGGCAGATATTAATACTGACGTCTGATGGTGTGACAGTGGCAGATATTAATACTGATGTCTGATGGTGTGACAGTGGCAGATATTAATACTGACGTCTGATGGTGTGACAGTGGCAGATATTAATACTGACGTCTGATGGCAGATGTGACTGGTGGCAGATATTAATAACTGACGTCTGATGGTGTGACGGTGGCAGATATTAATACTGACGTCTGATGGTGTGACAGTGGCAGATATTAATACTGACGTCTGATGGTGTGACGGTGGCAGATATTAATACTGACGTCTGATGGTGTGACAGTGGCAGATATTAATACTGACGTCTGATGGTGTGACAGTGGCAGATATTAATACTGACGTCTGATGGTGTGACGGTGGCAGATATTAATACTGACGTCTGATGGTGTGACAGTGGCAGATATTAATACTGACGTCTGATGGTGTGACGGTGGCAGATATTAATACTGACGTCTGATGGTGTGACAGTGGCAGATATTAATACTGACGTCTGATGGTGTGACAGTGGCAGATATTAATACTGACGTCTGATGGTGTGACAGTGGCAGATATTAATACTGACGTCTGATGGTGTGACAGTGGCAGATATTAATACTGACGTCTGATGGTGTGACAGTGGCAGATATTAATACTGACGTCTGATGGTGTGACAGTGGCAGATATTAATACTGACGTCTGATGGTGTGACAGTGGCAGATATTAATACTGACGTCTGATGGTGTGACAGTGGCAGATATTAATACTGATGTCTGATGGTGTGTCGGTGGCAGATATTAATACTGACGTCTGATGGTGTGACAGTGGCAGTGGCAGATATTAATACTGACGTCTGATGTGTGACAGTGGCAGATATTAATACTGACGTCTGATGGTGTGACAGTGGCAGATATTAATACTGACGTCTGATGGTGTGACAGTGGCAGATATTAATACTGACGTCTGATGGTGTGACGGTGGCAGATATTAATACTGACGTCTGATGGTGTGACGGTGGCAGATATTAATACTGACGTCTGATGGTGTGACAGTGGCAGATATTAATACTGACGTCTGATAGTGTGACAGTGGCAGATATTAATACTGATGTCTGATGGTGTGACACTTGGAGATATTAATACTGATGTCTGATTGTGTGACAATGACAATCAGAGAAAAGCTTCAGTTCAACTTTCAAATTTGGATGACACTCAAGTAAACTATGAATTCCGGGCGTTTGTCTCTGATTACCCGGATATACATTACAACCGTGCTACTGGTGTAAATACAAACGTTTGCAGAAAGAAAACTTTTAGCGGTGAGTTACTATTTTGGCAATGCCAAATTACCTCCCTTTATAAATGTCCGACCCATGTGTTGCGTGTTGTGAGTTGACCATACTGTTTTGAGTACGAAGTCAAGAAAATCCTGAGTTCAAGATGAGAGTGAAATTACTCAGTAGAAATCCAGACGACTATCTAAGAGAGACAAAGAGGGATATACACCGTGGTATGTAGTTTCCGTTACTTGCTTTAGTCAGACCAGCTACGAGCACTTGAAATTGTTGCCAAGACTTGAGACTCAAGCCACGCAGCCCAAACCTGTACACCATTAGTCACTATGGACAAGTAAACTATTAGAATGAAATATACATCTGGGAGAGTATTGTAAAGACGTGTCTTCGTTCAAACCACAGAATATCTCGTAAAATAGTCGTTTTGGTGTTCAGTTACATTTACATTTGGATGTTATTCATGCTTAAGGGGTCACTGGAATTACCGTATGAGTTCCTCCCGTTCCCCCCGTTCCCCCATCCCAAATAATATTTATAAATATACTAAAATTATTAACAAAACCACCAAACCGGCCCCTGATATTTAACCCGAACCGGCCCGAGAAGTAAATACTACATTGACATATAAATTAAAGTTTCTTTAACATAAAAGACGAAAACATAGTATCCTTGTGTATTCGGTTTTCGGTCATGTAAGGATTGCCGACCAACGTAACATAAAGTGCATGAATAAATCGATAATAAACAAACCTACCTCGTTTGTTTGTTATTTATTTATGATATTCAAATATCTGACGTATTATTAACCTCGTGTTTCACCCGCACAGCAGGCCTCATAGTTCGCTACGCACAGATCGTGAATACGGAAGTGACGTCATCTGTTTTCGTTCACTTCATTGGTTCTCCGTAAAACAGAAATCTAAGTGCAGTGTTCATGCTATGCTGATATTTTTATAATATTAAGTTGACAAACATCCAGTCCAAAAAGAATATTTGTAATAGTTCCAATAATAATTATTAGAAACTATGGTGCGTAATAATTTCATGTGAAAGTTAATCATGATAAGACTTTGCTAGTTACATCACATGTCCAGACATGTTTCACTCCTCCGGTTAAGCTGACAAGGGCACGAAACTCATCAGAAGATCTCACTACGTCGCGGAGGTGTATTTATATGTCTTTACATGTAATATCAATTTTTTAAAATATATTTGCGAATATTAGTGTGGATGAGAGGCAAGTGAACATGCAAGTGCTGCTGATCACGAAGATCCCGTGGTAGAGGACATTTTAGGTAATCCTTTTAAGAATCTAAAAGATCAATTGCAAAATGATACTATGTTAAACTCTACATTACATTTCATTGTATCGTATCCACAGAATTGACACATTAAGCCAATATAAGAATAGCACATGAATCCAATATAGTGAATTCACGTTTCACCTTCGTTATGCCAGAGTTTCCAGTAAAGAATTCACAAGTTATAATGTCGTCCTTCATATTTTCGCATTTTTCCATGTGTGGAGCATTTGTCAATATTTTCAACACACATTAACCACCTTTCACAGAGTGAATTCTGCCAACATTATGAAAACTAAACCATTCTTCAGCTTCAAAATTTAACTCTTATTTTACGCACATCTCACTGAGCAATTAAAGTGAATGTGTTGCTTTAATATTTCTTTGAACGGATTATCGTGAGCGAATTAATGTACATATTGTCTTAAGCATATGCTCTTCCTCGACACTGATTGTGGTTTATGTTCGGATTATCGTGAGCAAATTTATTTACATGTTTGTCTTATGCGTATGCTTTTACTTGACACTGAATGCGTTCACTCAATGTCAACTGTACCGTATACTGTTATCTTCACCTTGTGTATAATCTTATTAAAAAAAAAATATTGGAAGGACTTGATTAATAAATTGTTCATCATGGATAACGTGTCCGATTCTTGCGTTTACTGTCCATTGAGATGTCGTGAAAGACAACAGTGTCTGCAGTTATGTCTATTTATATATCATAAATTAATTGAAATGTTTATGTCTGTATATATATAATAAATTAATTGAAATCTTTATCTGTCTGTATTGTCAATTTTGTCTATGTTTTATATCTACTAAATTAATTGAAATCTTTATCTGTCTCTGTTGTCAATTATGTCTATGTTTTATATACAAATAATAAATCGTAATCTTTATCAATTAAAGATAATTACCACCGAACCATCGTTACCGTTAATTAACCCAGGGGCCCGGTTTGGGTGCGGGGCCGGTTTCAGTTAAATATCCAGGGGCCGGTTCTGGCCTGCTGTGGGCACAGGTACTTGTGTACCCCTAGTACGTATATGCAAACGCACCATGAACAAAGTCAAATTACAGAAACGTACCTGGTACCCTAAACGACGGATGAGCCCATAGTCCGCAACATAAATCCGAAACCGTTTGTATATTTGCCCCTGTACAACTGATTGCGAGTGGTATTATGCATTGCGAAATATTCGTGGGTTGTGGTGAAAAGGGCCAAAGGACAAAACGGCCAAAATTGAAAAAGTCAGGGCCAAAGGAAAGTCAAAAGGGCCATAGATTTTAGGGCTGGGATGATTCACTGATGCACTGATACATCGCGATACATTAAAGTTTGATACAGCTATCGTATTGTGGACTGGTGTATAGATACAAAATGATACACAACTTTTTTTTAATAAACAGTATAATCTTAAACATGATAAAGTACATATTAAGAAATATTCGCAAGTATTATAGAGTTACTTGTATGTTTATTACAATAATGTTTTTGTTATACAAAAATACCTTGAAATACATCATTTTAAATCTTAATACTGTGTCATTCTTTCAAGGTGTATGTATCGTGATACGTATTGTATCGCAGGTAAAATATCGTGATATGTGTCATATCGTGACATAGTGTATCGTCCCAGCCCTAATAGATTTAAGTCAAAAAGGGACATATATCATATTCAAATAAGAACACCCAAACTATACTATAGTGTGATCACCATACTTTTGGGTATGTGATCAAATATTCATAAGTAGTTCAAATGTTCATAATTCACACATCTTTAAAGTTCACTACAGACATCATCAGGGGTTACCTCATCAGGCGAGGTTACCAATTTGAATTGTGGTTGAATTGTTCGTCCAGTATAGCATTCTGAGCCATGAGACCAATCAGAACTAATTAGAACGTTGATCTTTGTTAGATTACTGACTAGACACTGTAATTGTCACCAGTGACTCTGTTAAAACCGCTTTTAATCATTACATAAACAGTTATATGGTTGACTATACTCATAAAATAAACACTTGACCACTCTGAGATGTTTTAAATAAAACAACACTGAGACGCTCTGAGATATTTAGGATTAGAACTATTGCAACATGCAATGACATAACAACGTATTGTATGAATTTCTTTAATATTTACAACACAATGTTTCTGGGCTACTGTGTGCCCTTTCAGCAGGTTACTGTGTATGCTCGTTTCTGATGTATAACGAATGAAATGCATCTAATACTGTATTGCTTATCATATGATGTATATCTGTTGCTGGAGGACTGACTAAAGATCATTAAATCTTTGTTTATAACTGATAAACATGATAAATAATCTATTGGTGATTCCTGCCTTTACCATATTTCACTGAATCCAATGCTTGACAAAATACATTTGACCTCATATGCCCAATTGTTTACACCACAGGTCTCACCTTATATAGAATATGCTTTACAACCCCATACAATACTGTTGTCAGTCACAGAACCTTACACCAGTAGTTGATCATATTACACTGCCTGTGAAATATAAACCTGCATAAATCATTGAATTACAAGTTGATTTCTTAACTTTTAACAATCTTATTTTAAAAAAAATCCAAATGGAACCTTTCAGTATTCAATTACAACCCCATATATTAGACGCATAAGATAATGAACTGCCGACATAACAATCAAAGTAAAAGAGATTCGGGATTGAGAGAGAGCGACCTGATATTATTTACATGGAAAAAAAGGGGCTTTCTACTCTGATCAGTCAACTGCCACTGAGCCTTTTAACAATTGGTTATTATAATTAAAATGATAAAATTAAAATGTTGTATTGACAACTGACTAGCACCAGGTAGGTTTAAGGAGGTACTGAATCGGCTCAACATGATTTCAAAACTTGGAAGTTATGTCAAAGACATCAAATGTGACATCATAGACAATATGTCAGACATGTAAACAGGAACTGATGTCTTCAAAACTATCAAAACTGCCTTATTTTTCCTTATCCTGACTCATGCTTATTGCTTGTCTTCTTCTTCTTGCGAACATAGTGGAACACGTGTATCTCCCAATTGAAGTTCCCTTCAATAAAAAATCACTAATTAGTACTCACCACGAGTTACCTCCCTTCCGCAAGCGCGTGAACGAGGGCGCCACCTGAACCCATGTGCCTCACTCTCTCCTTCTTCGCCCAGTGAGCCGGACGCAAGAGCACCTGTGTCTCCTGACACACTATATCCTTTATTTATATTTAGTTTAGTACCTCTTATATTCGATTTATAGAGGTGTTACTAGTATCCTTATTCAACTTGCATTGATTATTAGTCGTGTTTCTGCTGTTTTATTCACGGTTCGCCGTGTTTGTTCAGCAGTTTACCTTCATGAGAATCTGCACAGGTTGTAAACTACGTTATTCAGCTACCGATCCACATTTAAAATGTCTTCCACCCCCAGCCGTTCCAGTACAACCTTCTCAAGTGGGTGGATGCCTTCAGCTGCACTGGGAAAACTGGGGACTACTACAAGATCCTTATGTATCCAACATCCTACAGCACGGATATTTAATACAACTCAAGGCCAAGCCTCCGTTAACAATCACCCCTCCAGGGTTCAACGTTCAACCGGCACAACTACCTATGTTAAGAGAAACAGTAGCTTCTCTACTAAACAAACAGGCCTTAGAAGTTCTGGATCAACGAAACATCGTACCAGGTTTCTACTCCCCAGTTTTCCTAGTGCCGAAGAAAAATTCCAAGGAGAAGTTTCGCCTCATATACAACATGAGCATCTTCAACAGAGAATATCTATGCAAACCACCAGCGTTTCGCATGATACACTTACCGCAACTTCGGCATTTAATTCGTCCCAAAGATTACATGGCCAGCATAGATTTGCAAGACGCATATCTACACATTCAGATTCATCCCAACTCAAGGAAATATCTAAGATTTGTCCTAGACGGGAAACATTACAGCGTTCGATTTAAGAGATGTTAACCTACTTGCACCAGGTGCAAGCTGAGATAAAAAGCTAGTTGCACCAGCCAAATTCCAGCTGCACTGCTCTTATTGAAATATGTAATGAAAGAAATATGTTACTGAATTATTCAAAGTTTAGAAGAAAAATGAGCTGATATAATTATGCTTAAATGTTATATTTATTGTTGATAAAATTCTAAACAATTCACTTGCATCTGGTGCAAGTTAGACAAATAACTAGGTTGCACTTTGTTACATTGGGTTGCACCAGTGCAAGTAACGAAGCACTAACTCGAGCCCTGCATTATCAATGGAAAGTTCTTCCATTCGGAATCACATCGGCCCCTTGGGTATTCACAAGAGTGACCAAGCCTATTGTCTCATACCTACATCGTCAAGGTCTTCGCAGCGTCTTTTACCTAGACGACGGTATACAAGTGGATCCAGATCCACAGCGTCTCAGACTACAGCTGAATTTTATAATCAAGCTACTAACTCAATTAGGATGGTTAGTAAATCTACTCAAGTCGGACCTAGAGCCAACGCAAGATTTGCAATTTCTAGGTATACGATTTCTAACAGCTCAGAATCGTATTGTAGTCCCAGAGGACAGATGGATCAAGATCCAACAACTTATTCCTCAAGCCCTACTCTCTCCGTTACCACTTCGACAGTGGCAGAGCCTATTGGGACTACTCACATCAGCTCAAGACTTGACAGTCAGAGGCAGGCTTCAATTACGTCCGTTGCAAGTCCTCATCAATGCTCATCTCGAGGACCCTCTACCTTTCAGTCTACCAGATTATGTCAAACCACATCTACTCTGGTGGACCAAGAGATTGAATGTTTGTGCAGGCGTCTCCTTAGTAGAGCCGGAATCGAAAACACATCTCTACGTAGACGCGTCACTACAAGGTTGGGGAGCCCACCTTCCCGGCAGGAAGGCGTCAGGTCTATGGAGCAATCAAGAGAGCAAATGTCACATAAATCTGCTAGAGATGCAAGCAGTCATAAACGCCATAAGTCACTGGAGCAACTTACTACAGAACGCTCAGTTGATGGTTCACACAGACAATTCAACAGTGGCGTTTTATGTGAACAAACAAGGTTCAACAAGGTCACAGAACCTACTGACTCGATGTTTCAGACTGTTCGATCTAATCGACAATCTAAACATACACGTCAGAGCTTGCCACATTCCAGGAGCAAAGAATGTATTAGCAGACGCTCTCTCTCGGCCACACCAACCGTCGCCGACAGAATGGATGCTCCACACAGAGATATTCAATCAAATAATCATGGAAATAGGATCTCCTCTGATAGACCTATTCGCCACTCGATTCAACAAGCAACTGACAACATTCGTATCGCCAGTGCCAGACCCACTAGCATGGGCAACGGACGCACTAAGCATATCGTGGGAGGGACTCAACGCGTATGCTTTCCCGCCTCCAGCGTTAATCCCACAAGTCTTACAGAAAATCAGTCAAACGCAGAGCCTCCATCTGATTTTGGTCGCGCCCTACTGGCCAGCGAGAACTTGGTTTCCAGATCTCATACAAGAAATCGGAAAACCAACTCTTCAGCTCCCACAACGCGCCAATCTATTGATACATCCGCACACCAAACAAGTGCACGAGACACCAGAAGCATTCCAACTTCACGTATGGATTGTATCAAGGCATGTCTGAATAAGAGAGGTTATTCTGTCAGAGCGGCTAAAGCGGTCACGCTTGCACTACGTAACTCAACTCGTAACTTATACGATGACAAATGACACAGTTTTGTCAATTATGCTGCTAAGAAAGGATTCACAGCCAGATATGCTACACATCCTCAAGTGGCAGATTTCTTATGTTATCTACGTCAAACTAAGAATCTAAAAGGCTCAACCTTGTCCACTTATCTTGCAGCTATAAGTTCTGTCATAACTATGAGAACGGGCGTCAAGTTGACAAAAACACCAGAGTAACTCGCTTTGTTACGAGCGTTCCGATTGGAGGATCAGAAACGGAAGTTTCACGCTTCAGCCTGGGATCTAAATATAGTGCTCCAACACCTCACTAGTGAGGCGTATGAACCATTGATATCTACTTCGTTTGAATCACTGACCCACAAAACCTTGTTCCTGTTAGCACTAGCTACGGCCGCCAGGATGTCAGAAATTCACACACTGGATTACGAGAGAACACACTTTGATGATATTCATAACACAACTCATCTGGGACTTCGCTGGGATTTTATAGCGAAAAACCAACTGCCATGTCAACCAGACAGATTATTCCACGTCCCAGCTCTCTCATCCATACTCGGACCGCATGATACGATGGATCTATTATCACTATACCCAGTTCGAGCACTGAAAATATATCTCCAAAGATCCAAACAGAGCAGAGGGATATTCAAGAGATTATTTATCCCTATATCTACAGCTACGCAGACGGAAGTCTCACGTACTACTATCTCTATCTGGATCAGAACTGTCATACATACTACGTGCCTACAAGGCTGCAGGACTCGACCCTCCAAGAGCTTCTAATCCTCACGAAATTAGAGCGCTAGCCTCAACTCTCGCTCTACATGGGAATTGCTCGTTGAATACCATAATGGAGGGATGTTTCTGGAGATCCGATATGGTGTTTGCCAACCACTATCTGAGAGATATCACCACCAAGGACGTCTCAGGTATCCACCATTTCGGTCTCATGGTCCTCGCTCAACAGTTGACAGTTCCACGGAGAAGATAAGTCTATCTTACAGATTTATACTTATCTGATAACAGTACTAATAGCTACATGCTATCTATATATTTTGCTTAAAGTTAATTTATTATCTTAAAGCTCAGTACTATGGTTTTTATATCATACTATAATAAGCTTACAACTCCTAGGAGTTTTGCTATTATATATATGTTCAGCTTAAGTTTCATCTATCCTTAAGCTCAGTTCATATGGTCAGATTCATAAATGTATTAGTTAACAAACTCTAAGGAGTTGGTTACTATTATACAGCTTAAGTTATAATTATGTCTTAAGCACAATACTATTATAGCTTAAATATATGCATATCTTAAGCTTAATACTTTGCTTCATTATAAAAGTATCGCTATAAACTCACAGAAGTTTATACTATCACATTAATAGCTTCAGCTTACATTAATGTTGTATATACTTTTATCATATTCAGTAAATTGTAATAACCTTTATATGGCAGCTGATAAGTTAACAGCAGGAATTCATCAGTTCAGTGCCTTTATGAAGTTCCCATAGGGTTATTACAATCATCACAGTTCAAATCACTAATTATTAAAATCCAAAGTATATAGAATCCCACCTCCTTTTCCGTCGGATTCTACAAGCAATAAGCATGAGTCAGGATAAGGAAAAATATGAAATTTTTAGAGTAAAATTAATAATTTGTACTTATCCTGACTCATGAGGTAAGCCCTCCCGTCCTCCCCACTTAACACTTTGGATTTCTTCGGAAAAATAAAGTGTCGGGCTCGAAATAAAAAGGAGAGAGTGAGGCACATGGGTTCAGGTGGCGCCCTTGGTCCCGAGCTTGCGAAAGGGAGGTAACTCGTGGTGAGTACTAATTAGTGATTTTTTATTGAAGGGAACTTCAATTGGGAGATACACGTGTTCCACTATGTTCGCAAGAAGAAGAAGACAAGCAATAAGCATGAGTCAGGATAAGTATAAAATATTAATTTTAGTCTAAAAATTTCATTTTTTGTCACAGAAGACATTTGAACTTATGATAACACATCTTGATCAGAAGACTGTCATAGAAGATATTGGAATCCAAAGTAACATCATGAAAGAATTTTAAACATGGTGAGGTCAAAACCGTGTCCAAAATAATGTTAAACATTGTTTAAATAAATGGAATGGACAGAAATGTCTTTTGGACCAAAAATGGTATCATAAAATGCAATATGTGAAAAGTCTGAGTAGCCTTCTTGCAGTTACCAACAGCCCTTACTCACTCCACTTCAAATATCTACTTCATGAGGGTATTTGATGTGCACAGTTTGTTGCATTTCCTGCAAAGGATTGCGTTGTTCTCAAAAATCGTGCTTATGGTGATAGGTAAAGAGACTTCTGTTGAAAATATAAAAACATTACAGTGAGCTTCTCAGACTTGTTTGAGTTTGAGGTTATGGTGCAATGGATATAGTATTGTCAGAATTATACCCCATTATCATTGTTACAACTATTGTTTAATGTTGTAGTGCCAAGAAACTATGACCCAAGCCTCCACCCGTTTGAAACAGGGCGTGAGTACGTCCGAGCTGTAAATGCCACCAAGTTGGAACGTGTTTTCGCCAAGCCGTTTGTTGGATCATTGGATGGTCATCGTGATGGGGTCACCAGCATGTGTAAACACCCCAGCAGCATCTCTCTGCTTCTGTCAGGCTCCTGTGATGGAGAGGTAATCAGTTTAATCCTAAAGTTGTATTTACAATACACAGAGTTGTACAACACAATGCTCATGAATTGTACAATTAAATACACTTTACCAGTACAATACAATACTCATGAACTGTACAATTAGATACACTTAAACTTTACAATACAATACACATAAACTGTACAACTGGATGCTGTTTTTTCTATACTGTGTTTTAAGTTCATATGAAACATGTTATATGTTGAATATTGAAGACTAGTATAAATATAAAATATTTGTAAGACTTATTCTTCACTGCCAACATGTATTATACCAGCTGTGAGGAAAACCCTATCCTTCAAAGGAGGTGCAACAGTGCATTTGCATGCTGAGAAAACCATAACCACATGTACACAAGTCAAAGTTGTTGATCTGCCTCCAGTAGAACTGGGTGTAATAAGATAGGATGACACTGTCAGGAGGTTGTTCAGAAAGCATGTGTTGAAGAAGTCCATCGTAGACTGGTGTCCGATCTGGGTGTAGGAGGTTCAAGTCATGGCGATCAGCGTTTTTGGATGAAGGAGACAAGCATACCTCATATCATTTGTCTGGGTGAACTTTGACATCACTTGTGGTCGTCATCATGAGAAATACCATTGCAGCTGACAGACAGACATCACTTGTGGTAGTCACATTGAGAAATACCATTGCAGCTGACAGACAGACATCACTTGTGGTTGTCACCATGAGAAATACCATTGCAGCTGACAGACAGACATCACTTGTGGTAGTCACCATGAGAAATACCATTGCAGCTGACAGACAGACATCACTTGTGGTAGTCACATTGAGAAATACCATTGCAGAAATACCATTGCAGCTGACAGACAGACATCACTCATTGCAGCTGACATCACTTGTGGTAGTCACATTGAGAAATACCATTGCAGCTGACAGACAGACATCACTTGTGGTAGTCACATTGAGAAATACCATTGCAGCTGACAGACAGACATCACTTGTGGTAGTCACATTGAGAAATACCATTGCAGCTGACAGACAGACATCACTTGTGGTAGTCACATTGAGAAATACCATTGCAGCTGACAGACAGACATCACTTGTGGTAGTCACATTGAGAAATACCATTGCAGCTGACAGACAGACATCACTTGTGGTCGTCACCATGAGAAATACCATTGCAGCTGACACAGACAGACATCACTAGGATGTCCCTCCCAACTGTTAGACATGGCAGAAAATAGTCAACATTTGTTATTTTTTAATGAAGCAAATTGTTTGTTATTACCCATAAGGGCTTGAAGTTGGATACACAGGTGATTATTTTTGTGATAATTGAACATGTGTTTTTCAGTGATTCTCAACGTTGATTGGTCAGCTAAGCAGAGAATAAATGTGATTGGTTGACGGAACTACTTTTCATGATCCACGTTCATTGACAACTTATATCATTTCATTGATTACTAGAACGTGCTGTACTCACACATTCCGAGATTAAAAAAAGAAAACATAAAGGTCAAAGAATATGAATACTCTTTTTATTAGACATTATTATTTTTCAATAAAAGTGTTCTGTAGATAGTAGTCTTTTAAAATAAATAACCTTAAAAAAAAACACAAACAAAAAAATAAGAAAAGGCATCATTTGCATTGTTTGTAAACAAACATGGCCGCTATTACGCTAACCCCGAGATCAAGGCCAATGACCTAGAACTTTAAAGTTGACGGGGGCCTAACAGGAAGAGTGATGAGAATTTTACAGCCCTTTAATTCCTACAACCTGTTTGTTGTTAAAACTGAATTTGAGGAAATAGAAGCAGAACATACCGACTAAAGGTGGTTCCTGAAAGTGTGACAAGTGAGTCTGCCACGGCGTCACAGTTGTCGCATGCCGTAAATCTTCATTCTGTACATACACTATTCTCAGGTCAAATTTATGGTAGTGTATTCCACTTCAACATCTCGAATGATTCCTCTGTCAGTCGATCATCTGCTCCAAAAAGGCATATTCTTCCCATTGACTCGGATTCCGACTAGAGTTATCCTTCTTGGAACTGCTGTATTCTACTGGGACCAATGATGTGACAAAATGTTGTGCAAACTTGTTGGGTTTCTTGACAGAAAACTTTTTCTAGATGTATTTGTGGGATGGTTGTCTTCTAGATTTCCCAACATTTAACTGTTGACTTTCCCCAAAATTGACAGGTTTTTGGCAAAGTGTGTTTCAACACTACACTGTCACTAGACACACATCAGTCGTGAATGAACGATGTTCCGGCGCACTTACTTGATCAAATAACATTTCAGCTATTATCAAGTTCAGTGATATTGCATTTAAAAGATCATCTTTATCATATTACAAATGCTAATAAATTATTCCATGGCCAAGGCTCGGCACTGTGAACATTATTTCAACTCTGGCATATTTCCCGTAATCACTCGTACCTTGTTGGTTATTCTCTAAATAATTCAGCAGAGGTATTGTTCTTAAAATTTTACGCCATGTAAATATAAGTAATTAGGAAGTTTGATACATAGCTGTTCACTTGAGGGACTTGAGCTATAAACCCTCTTCATAATGTATCTGAGACCAAATGGTCAATTGTTGGTGTGACAATCAGGAACATCGATGTCCTAAGTTACCTGAATGTTCAGTTATAATATGTACCTTCATAGCTGTGGGACAAGTACTTCCACAAGGGCAGTTTAACAATGAGATGTCCGGCCTAAAGAATGACACCTGGACAAGATGATGTCAACACTTATTGCAACTGGTAACACTAATAATTATCCCTCGCAACGCGTTTTGCGGGGGGTATTAAGATGGACGCCGTGCGTGCATGCATCCGTCCGTCCGTCCGTGCACATTTGTCTTTTCCGGAGCTGAACTCTAAAACTATTCAATATTTCTTCACCAAACTTGGCACATAGATAGATCTGGTAGAGTACTGGTGCCTTTTGGTAGCTTTGGAATTCTGAATAAAACATTTTTGGCGTTTCCATGGCAACAAGTTTTGACTTGGCCTGAAATTGGTGGTAGTACACTTTTCCGGAGCTGAACTCTAAAATTGTTCAATATTTCTTCACCAAACTTGGCACATAGACAGATCTGGTGGTGTACTGGTGCCTTATGGTAGTTTTGGAATTCTGAATAAAATATTTTTGGCATTTCCATGGCAACAAGTTTGACATAGACTGAATTGGTGATAGTGCTCCTTTCTGGAGCAGAACTTTAAAAACCTTTCAATACTCTCCTTCCACTTTTCTATATGCACACCTAAATATTTGACATAAGCATAACTCGTAGACATAATCATGAAGAGTATTTTGCCATTGCGGGGGATATTGATGACTTTGTCTTCTTGTTACAAATATTCCAATTACCAAACTCTTGTTCCGTTGAAGATGCTTGTGTCTGTTTCTTTCAGGTCAGGGTTTGGAACTTGGCCAAACGTGACTGTGTGACGGCCATTCAGGCACATGACGGCTTTGTCCATGGACTAGACTGTCATCACTCACAGCCTTACTTCTTCACAGTACGTAACCATGGTTATAGTAGTGCATCGTGTCATTCTCCTTTTCTATCACATTTTTCCTACCCTACAGTAGATGTATACTTGTGCACCAAGTAAATTTAAAGTAAATGTAAAGTGGTGCATCGAGCTATTCTCCTTTTCTCCTATCACATTATTCCTACCCTACAGTAGATGTAAAGTGGTGCATCAAGCCATTCTCCATTTCTTGTAGCACATTATTCCTACCCTACAGTAGATGTAAAGTGGTGCATCAAGCCATTCTCTTTTTCTTGTATCACATTATTCCTACCCTACAGTAGATGTAAAGTGGTGCATCAAGCCATTCTCCTTTTCTCCTATCACATTATTCCTACCCTAAAGTGGATGTAAAGTGGTGCATCGTGTCATTTTCCTTTTCTCCTATCACATTATTCCTACCCTACAGTAGATGTAAAGTGGTGCATCAAGCCATTCTCCTTTTCTCCTATCACATTATTCCTACCCTACAGTAGATGTAAAGTTGTGCATCGTGTCATTTTCCTTTTCTCCTATCACATTATTCCTACTCTACAGTAGATGTAAAGTGGTGCATCGTGTCATTTTCCTTTTCTCCTATCACATTATTCCTACCCTACAGTAGATGTAAAGTGGTGCATCAAGCCATTCTCCTTTTCTCCTATCACATTATTCCTACCCTACAGTAGATGTAAAGTGGTGCATCGTGTCATTCTCCATTTCTTGTAGCACATTATTCCTACCCTACAGTAGATGTAAAGTGGTGCACCAGATCTCCCTCAAGAATGCACATAACACCAGTGCTTAAGGCGTTACATTGGCTCCCAGTAGCGGCGAGAGTGGACTTTAAAATCATCAACCTGGCATATCAGTGCGTTCACAATCTAGCCCCATCATACCTGTGTGACATTGTATGTATTTACATTCCACCACGTTCCCTCAGGTCTGAGACTCATAGTGCCATCATGGAAGAAAATGTCCTTTGGTTACAAGTCCTTTAGTGTTGCAGCTGCCACTAAATGGAACTCACTGCCAGATTTTCTCAAAGACGCCCAGTCGTTGGAAAAATTTAAGTGTCTCCTAAAGACTCATCTGTTCCATTTGTACTTTTAAAGTGACCTTGTACTGCTACTAGTTTTTACTTCTTTTCCTTGACTCTTGTATGCGCTATGAGCACGGCCCAGTGGAGTTTGGCGCCATATAAATGGACACTATTATTATTATTATTAAGCCATTCTCCTTTTCTCCTATCACATTATTCCTACCCTACAGTAGATGTAAAGTGGTGCATCAAGCCATTCTCCTTTTCTCCTATCACATTATTCCTACCCTACAGTAGATGTAAAGTGGTGCATCGTGTCATTTTCCTTTTCTCCTATCACATTATTCCTACCCTACAGTAGATGTAAGGTGGTGCATCAAGCCATTCTCAATTTCTCCTATCACATTATTCCTACCCTACAGTAGATGTAAAGTGGTGCATTGTGTCATTTTCCATTTCTCCTATCACATTATTCCTACCCTACAGTAGATGTAAAGTGGTGCATCGTGTCATTCTCCATTTCTTGTAGCACATTATTCCTACCCTACAGTAGATGTAAAGTGGTGCATCGTGTCATTCTCCATTTCTCCTATCACATTATTCCTACCCTACAGTAGATGTAAAGTGGTGCATCGTGTCATTCTCCATTTCTCCTATCTCATTATTCCTACCCTACTACAGTGGATGTAAAGAGGTGCATCGTGTCATTCTCCATTTCTTGTATCACATTATTCCTACCCTACAGTAGATGTAAAGTGGTGCATCGTGTCATTCTCCATTTCTTGTATCACATTATTCCTACCCTACAGTAGATGTAAAGTGGTGCATCGTGTCATTCTCCATTTCTTGTAGCACATTATTCCTACCCTACAGTGGATGTAAAGTGGTTCATCGTGTCATTTTCCTTTTCTCCTATCACATTATTCCTACCCTATAGTAGATGTAAAGTGGTGCATCGTGTCATTCTCCATTTCTCCTATCACATTATTCCTACCCTACAGTAGATGTGAAGAGGTGCATCGTGTCATTTTCCTTTTCTCCTATCACATTATTCCTACCCTACAGTAGATGTAAAGTTGTGCATCGTGTCATTCTCCATTTCTCCTATCACATTATTCCTACCCTACACTAGATGTAAAGTTGTGCATCGTGTCATTCTCCATTTCTTGTATCACATTATTCCTACCCTACAGTAGATGTAAAGTGGTGCATCGTGTCATTCTCCATTTCTTGTAGCACATTATTCCTACCCTACAGTAGATGTAAAGTGGTGCATCGTGTCATTCTCCATTTCTTGTAGCACATTATTCCTACCCTACAGTAGATGTAAAGTGGTGCATCGTGTCATTTTCCTTTTCTCCTATCACATTATTCCTACCCTACAGTAGATGTAAAGTGGTGCATCGTGTCATTCTCCATTTCTTGTAGCACATTATTCCTACCCTACAGTGGATGTAAAGTGGTGCATCGTGTCATTCTCCTTTTCTCCTATCACATTATTCCTACCCTACAGTAGATGTAAAGTGGTGCATCGTGTCATTCTCCATTTCTCCTATCACATTATTCCTACCCTACAGTGGATGTAAAAGTGGTGCATCGTGTGTCATTCTCCATTTCTCCTATCACATTATTCCTACCCTACAGTAGATGTAAAGTGGTGCATCGTGTCATTCTCCATTTCTTGTATCACATTATTCCTACCCCCTACAGTAGATGTAAAGTGGTGCATCGTGTCATTCTCCATTTCTTGTAGCACATTATTCCTACCCTACAGTGGATGTAAAGTGGTGCATCGTGGTTTCATTTCTCCTATCACATTTTCTCCAGTATCACATTATTCCTACCCTACAGTAGATGTAAAGTGGTGTGCATCGTGTCATTCTCCATTTCTCCTATCACATTATTCCTACCCTACAGTAGATGTGAAGAGGTGCATCGTGTCATTTTCCTTTTCTCCTATCACATTATTCCTACCCTACAGTAGATGTAAAGTGGTGCATCGTGTCATTCTCCATTTCTCCTATCACATTATTCCTACCCTACAGTAGATGTAAAGTGGTGCATCGTGTCATTCTCCATTTCTCCTATCACATTATTCCTACCCTACAGTGGATGTAAAGTGGTGCATCGTGTCATTCTCCATTTCTTGTAGCACATTATTCCTACCCTACAGTAGATGTAAAGTGGTGCATCGTGTCATTCTCCATTTCTTGTAGCACATTATTCCTACCCTACAGTGGATGTAAAGTGGTGCATCGTGTCATTTTTCCTTTTCTCCTATCACATTATTCCTACCCTATAGTAGTAGATGTAAAGTGGTGCATCGTGTCATTCTCCATTTCTCCTATCACATTATTCCTACCCTACAGTAGATGTGAAGAGGTGCATCGTGTCATTTTCCTTTTCTCCTATCACATTATTCCTACCCTACAGTGGATGTAAAGTGGTGCATCAAGTCATTCTCCTTTTCTCCATTATTTACCCTCCTATCACATTATTCCTACCCTACAGTAGATGTAAAGTGGTGCATCGTGTCATTTTCCTTTTCTCCTATCACATTATTCCTACCCTACAGTGGATGTAAAGTGGTGCATCGTGGTGCAGTCATTCTCCATTTCTCCTATCACATTATTCCTACCCTACAGTGGATGTAAAGTGGTGCATCGTGTCATTCTCCATTTCTCCTAGCACATTATTCCTACCCTACAGTAGATGTAAAGTGGTGCATCGTGTCATTCTCCATTTCTTGTAGCACATTATTCCTACCCTACAGTGGATGTAAAGTGGTGCATCGTGTCATTTTCCTTTTCTCCTATCACATTATTCCTACCCTATAGTAGATGTAAAGTGGTGCATCGTGTCATTCTCCATTTCTCCTATCACATTATTCCTACCCTACAGTAGATGTGAAGAGGTGCATCGTGTCATTCTCCTTTTCTCCTATCACATTATTCCTACCCTACAGTGGATGTAAAGTGGTGCATCAAGCCATTCTCCTTTTCTCCTATCACATTATTCCTACCCTACAGTGGATGTAAAGTGGTGCATCGTGTCATTCTCCATTTCTCCTATCACATTATTCCTACACTACAGTGGATGTAAAGTTGTGCATCGTGTCATTTTCCTTTTCTCCCATCACATTGTTCCTACCCTACAGTAGATGTGAAGAGGTGCATCGTGTCATTTTCCTTTTCTCCTATCACATTATTCCTACCCTACAGTGGATGTAAAGTGGTGCATCAAGCCATTCTCCTTTTCTCCTATCACATTATTCCTACCCTACAGTGGATGTAAAGTGGTGCATCGTGTCATTCTCCATTTCTCCTATCACATTATTCCTACACTACAGTGGATGTAAAGTTGTGCATCGTGTCATTTTCCTTTTCTCCCATCACATTGTTCCTACCCTACAGTAGATGTAAAGTGGTGCATCGTGTCATTCTCCATTTCTCCTATCACATTATTCCTACCCTACAGTAGATGTAAAGTGGTTCATCGTGTCATTTTCCTTTTCTTGTATCACATTATTCCTACCCTACAGTAGATGTAAAGTGGTTCATCGTGTCATTTTCCTTTTCTTGTATCACAATATTCCTGCCCTACAGTAGATGTAAAGTGGTGCATCCACTGTGACGTGTGTCTGTGTCTGTGATCAAATACTCCTGACTATAGCAGTGACTACTGTATGTTGGCAGTGTGGGGCAGACAGCACCATCAAGCAGTGGCGGATGACAGCAGAAGGGGGCATAGATGTGGAGCCCATGAACATCATCCTGGGGAAGGTGAGGAGTGTCACAAGATTTTCATAGAGTGTAACTGTAGTGTATAATATGTGTAGATATACAATGTAACTGTAGTGTATACATGTAGTAATACCGTGTAACTGTAGTGAATACATGTTGCGATACAGTGTAACTGTAGTGTGTACATGTAGCGATACCGTGTAACTGTACTGTGCACATGTAGCGATACAGTGTAACTGTAGTGTATACATGTAGCGATACCGTGTAACTGTACTGTGCACATGTAGCGATACTGTGTAACTGTAGAAGGTATGTGTATACATGTAGCGATATACACTGCGTAACTGTAATGTGTATACATGTAGCGATATAGTGTAACTGTAGTGTATACATGTAGCGATACATGTAGCTGTATATACATGTGGATAACTGTAGTGTATACATGTAGCGATACTATGTAACTGTAGTGTATACATGTAGTGTAACTGTAGTGTATACATGTAGCGTAGTGTATATAGTGGAACTGTAGTGTATACATGTAGTATGCATGTTAAGTGATGCGATATACCGTAACTGTAGTGTGTAACTGTAGTGTATACATGTAGCGATATAGTGGAACTGTAGTGTATACATGTAGCGATACTGTGTAACTGTAGTGTATACATGTAGCAATACCTTGTAACTGTAGTGTATACATGTAGTAGTGTATACATGTAGCAATACCTTGTAACCAACTGTATTGTATACATGTATTTATATAGTGGAACTACACGCAAGTGGTACATGAACTGCATGCAACACGAAGCAACCGTAACAGTGCATAAGATGCAGCCATACTGAACTGGAACCCAGACAACGCAGCTGCACCAGCAATCCCAGTGGGGCATATATGGAATGGAACGTCCAATCCGTAGCTTAAACGGATACAAAGCCTGGGAGACGACCGAACTCGTGAAGCCTGACCATGTAGACCAGGAAGGACCATTTTGGACTCTTTCAGGATTTGAGACAGCTTGGTGTTGAAAACGCCGGACTATTTTCCTGTTGTACAGACAATGTTCCAATGCCTGACTACCACTGGTCAGAAAATATCTTTGCAAATAAAGCTGGAGGAAGGATGACATTTGGGATGGAGCACAAGGTCAAAATAAACTGGATCATTATCTGAAATCGGACAGCATGAAGCAGTCAAGGACAAATCCAGTAGAGGTGGGTGTGTCAGTACTAATGGGTGTAACAGTGAACCCAGGTGGAGGTGGCAGCCCAGATGGACAGACACAGTATAGATGGATGTGGCCACACAGGAAGGTGGGCACAGATGGGGTGGCCAGTAGAGATGGGTGCACAAAGAGGTGGGGTGTGGCAGTAGAGATGGGTGTGACCGTAGAGGAAGGAGGAAGTCACAGGAGGTGAGGTGATGGCCACACACAGGTGGGAGTGCTGATGGCTGGCTGCAGAGGTGGGTGTGTTGGTGGCCAGTAGAAAGAGTGTGGTGGCTGGGCTGCAGAGGTGGCACAGTTGATGGCCACAGCCACCAGGCGGACACCCGTCAGCAGACAGGCACAGCAGATGGCTGGAGACACAAGTGGGCGCCTGATGGACATCAGCAGAGGAAGGACACAGACATCTCCGACACACAGAGGTGGACATCAAGCCACCGCACCAAGAGGCAGAGCCACAGTGGCCCAAGGATGGAGCAATCAGCAGAGGCAGACGAACAGCAGAGGATCAAGACGGGTGGCTGAGGCTGGACACACAGAGGTGGATGGTCAGAGGCACAGCACACATCAGAGGTGGTGGTCAGAGGCTGGAGTGGACAGACACACACAAATGGACACAGACAGACACACACAGAGGACACACACACATGGACAGGACACACACACACAGGAAAATGGATGGACACAGAGGTGGAGGATGACACAGGTGGAGGAAGACACACACACACACAGAGGAATGGACACACAGAGGAAAAGAAGGTAGCCACAGATGGAACACAATGGACAATACAGAGGTGAAGAATGGAGGTGGTGGAAAGATGGAGCCACAAAAGAAAGGTGACACAAGGAAGAACACACACAGAGGTGGTAGAGGAAAGATGGACACACAGGTGATGGACACAGAGGTGGCTGATGGACTAGTAGACGGAACAGAGGCCAACAGAGGACAGGGAGGTCAGGCAGTGTGACACAGTTCATGATACTGGGAGGTCAGGCTGTGACACAGTTCATGATACTGGGAGGTCAGGCTGTGACACAGTTCATGATACTGGGAGGTCAGGCAGTGACACAGTTCATGATACTGGGAGGTCAGGCTGTGACACAGTTCATGATACTGGGAGGTCAGGCACAGTTCATGATACTGGGGAGGGGAGGTCAGGCAGCATACTCATGTGACACAGTTCATGATACTGGGAGGTCAGGCTGTGACACAGTTCATGATACTGGGAGGTCAGGCTGTGACACAGTTCATGATACTGGGAGGGAGGTCAGGCAGGTGACACAGTTCATGATACTGGGAGGTCAGGCTGTGACACAGTTCATGATACTGGGAGGTCAGGACACAGTTCATGATACTGGGAGGTCAGGCTGTGACACAGTTCATGATACTGGGAGGTCAGGCTGTGACACAGTTCATGATACTGGGAGGTCAGGCTGTGACACAGTTCATGATACTGGGATGTCAGGCAGTGACACAGTTCATGATACTGGGAGGTCAGGCTGTGACACAGTTCATGATACTGGGAGGTCAGGCTGTGACACAGTTCATGATACTGGGAGGTCAGGCTGTGACACAGTTCATGATACTGGGAGGTCAGGCTGTGACACAGTGATACTGGGAGGTCAGGCAGTGACACAGTTCATGATACTCAGGCAGGACACAGTTCATGATACTGGGAGGTCAGGCAGTGACACAGTTCATGATACTGGGAGGTCAGGCTGTGACACAGTTCATGATACTGGGAGGTCAGCCTGTGACACAGTTCATGATACTGGGAGGTCAGTGACACAGTCATGATACTGGGAGGTGACACAGTTCATGATACTGGGAGGTCAGCCTGTGACACAGTTCATGATACTGGGAGGTCAGGTTGTGACACAGTTCATGAGGTCACTGTGACACAGTTCATGATACTGGGAGGTCAGGTTGTGACACAGTTCATAACAGGGAGGATACTTTGGAGGTCAGGGTTGTGACACAGTTCATGATACTGGGAGGTCAGGCTGTGACACAGTTCATGATACTGGGAGGTCAGGCTGTGACACAGTTCCTGATACTGGGAGGTCTGACTGTGACACAGTTCATGATACTGGGAGATCAGGCTGTGACACAGTTCATGATACTGGGAGGTCAGGCTGTGACACAGCTCATGATACTGGGAGGTCAGGCTGTGACACAGTTCATGATACTGGGAGGTCAGGCTGTGACACAGTTCATGATACTGGGAGGTCAGCTTGTGACAGTTCATGATACTGGGAGTTCAGGGTGTGACATGATTCACTTTACACTTCCCTCTTCTGTACAGGTCATCCTGAAGATGTGTTCCAATGCCATCGCCTGGAACCCAATGGAGGCTTTCACCTTCACTGTGGCGAATGAAGATTACAAGTGAGTCTGGAATCTATTCCCCAATCACTATGTCACTGTCCACCAATAATCGACCCCTTTACTTGTAAGTGTCCACGATCACTACCCCTTATACTTGTCACTGTCCGCGATCACTACCCCTTATACTTGTCAGTCTCCGCGATAATTAACCCTTCTACTTGTCAGTGTCCATGATTACTAACCCTAATACTTGTCAGTGTCCACGATTACTAACCCTTATACTTGTCAGTGTCCGCGATCACTACCCCTTCTACTTGTCAGTATCCGCGATAATTAACCCTTCTACTTGTCAGTGTCCACGATTACTACGCCTTATACTTGTCAGTGTCCACGATTACTACGCCTTATACTTGTCAGTGTCCACGATTACTACCCTGTATACTTGTCAGTGTCCACGATCACTACCCCTTATACTTGTCAGTGTCCACAATCACTACCCCTTATACTTGTCAGTTTCCACGATTACTAACCCTTATATTTGTCACTGTCTGCCATCACTAACCCTTATATTTGTCACTGTCCACGATTACTAACACTTATATTTGTCACTGTCCACGATTACTAACCCCTATACTGTAAACGTACTTATTTTCGCGTGGTGCAATTTCAGTGTCGAAATCACTAAACCTTATACTTGTCAGGGTCCACGATTACTACCCCTTGTACTTGTCAGTTTCCATGATTACTAACCCTTATATTTGTCACTGTCTGCGATCACTAACCCTTATATTTGTCACTGTCCACGATTACTAACCCTTATACTGTAAACGTACTTATTTTCGCGTGGTGCAATTTTCGCGGAATTGATAGTTTAGACTACATCCCGCGGTCAATTATTCACGCAATCAGTAATTGCCGGAACTGCCAGCTGGCTCTTTGACCGCCACTAATAGCAGTCATTTTAAGATTCTCGTAAATTTCTTTCTTCAAACTTGATGTGTTATGGTAACAACTCAGGGGCGAGCGTGGCTAGACTGAAAGAATGACTGGTTTATTCGCGGTGTATCAATTTTCGCGCTGAAATGTTTTGCGCGAAAATAAAACCTGCACGAAATATAATACGTTTACAGTATTTGTCACTGTCCACGATTACTAACCCTTATATTTGTCACTGTCCACGATTACTAACCCTTATATTTGTCACTGTCCACGACGACTAACCCTTATATTTGTCACTGTCCACGATTACTAACACTTATATTTGTCACTGTCCACGATTACTAACCCCTATACTGTAAACGTACTTATTTTCGCGTGGTGCAATTTCAGTGTCGAAATCACTAAACCTTATACTTGTCAGGGTCCACGATTACTACCCCTTGTACTTGTCAGTTTCCATGATTACTAACCCTTATATTTGTCACTGTCTGCGATCACTAACCCTTATATTTGTCACTGTCCACGATTACTAACCCTTATACTGTAAACGTACTTATTTTCGCGTGGTGCAATTTTCGCGGAATTGATAGTTTAGACTACATCCCGCGGTCAATTATTCGCGCAATCAGTAATTGCCGGAACTGCCAGCTGGCTCTTTGACCGCCACTAATAGCAGTCATTTTAAGATTCCCGTAAATTTCTTTCTTCAAACTTGATGTGTTATGGTAACAACTCAGGGGCGACCGTGGCTAGACTGAAAGAATGACTGGTTTATTCGCGGTGTATCAATTTTCGCGCTGAAATGTTTTGCGCGAAAATAAAACCTGCACGAAATATAATACGTTTACAGTATTTGTCACTGTCCACGATTACTAACCCTTATATTTGTCACTGTCCACGATTACTAACCCTTATATTTGTCACTGTCCACGACTACTAACCCTTATATTTGTCACTGTCCACGATTACTAACCCTTATATTTGTCACTGTCCACGACTACTAACCCTTATATTTGTCACTGTCCACGATTACTAACCCTTATATTTGTCACTGTCCACGATTACTAACCCTTATATTTGTCACTGTCCACGACTACTAACCCTTATATTTGTCACTGTCCACGATTACTAACCCTTATATTTGTCACTGTCCACGATTACTAACCCTTATATTTGTCACTGTCCACGATTACTAACCCTTATATTTGTCAGTGTCCACAATAACTAACCCTTATATTTGCCACTGTCCATGATTACAAACCCTTATATTTGTCACTGTCCACGATTGCTAACCCTTATATTTGTCACTGTCCACGATTACTAACCCTTATATTTGTCACTGTCCATGATTACAAACCCTTATATTTGTCACTGTCCACAGTTGCTAACCCTTATATTTGTCACTTTCCACGAATACTATACTTGCCAATAGTCGCCAGTACATAACAGTATGGTATAATCTCTGTTTTGCAGCCTGTACACGTTTGACATGAGGAAACTTTCAATGCCTCTCAACTTTCACATGGACCACATCTCAGCAGGTATGTTAAAGTTATCTCCCTTGCTTCAGCAGTGCTCAGTTTTAGCATTTAGAATGAACGCTCTACCTGAAACCTTTTGCCAGTCTCATCAAGGGCCTATCAGACAGACTGACAGACATCATTGAGAGTAAGGACTGACAGACATCTTTGAGAGTAAGGACTGACAGACATCGTTGAGAGTAAGGACTGACAGACATCGATGAGAGTAAGGACTGGACTGACAGGCATCATTGAGAGTAAGGACTGACAGACATCGTTGAGAGTAAGGACTGACAGACATTATTGAGAGTAAGGACTGACAGACATTATTGAGAGTAAGGACTGACAAACATTATTGAGAGTAAGGACTGACAGACATCGTTGAGAGTAAGGACTGACAGACATTGTTGAGAGTTAGGACTGACAGGCATCATTGAGAGTAAGGACTGACAGACATTATTGAGAGTAAGGACTGACAGACATTGTTGAGAGTAAGGACTGACAGACATTATTGAGAGTAAGGACTGACAGACATCATTGAGAGTAAGGACTGACAGACATCGTTGAGAGTAAGGACTGACAGACATTATTGAGAGTAAGGACTGAAAGACATTATTGAGAGTAAGGACTGTCAGACATTATTGAGAGTAAGGACTGACAGACATCGTTGAGAGTAAGGACTGACAGACATTATTGAGAGTAAGACCTGACAGACATTGTTGAGCGTAAGGACTGACAGACATTGTTGAGAGTAAGGACTGACAGACATCGTTGAGAGTAAGGACTGACAGGCATCATTGAGAGTAAGGACTGACAGGCATCATTGAGCGTAAGGACTGACAGACATTGTTGAGAGTAAGGACTGACAGACATCGTTGAGAGTAAGGACTGACAGGCATCATTCAGAGTAAGGACTGACAAACATTATTGAGAGTAAGGACTGACAGACATCGTTGAGAGTAAGGACTGACAGGCATCGTTGAGAGTAAGGACTGACAGACATCGTTGAGAGTAAGGACTGACAGACATCGTTGAGAGTAAGGACTGACAGACATCATTGAGAGTAAGGACTGACAGACATCGTTGAGAGTAAGGACTGACAGACATCATTGAGAGTAAGGACTGACAGACATCATTGAGAGTAAGGACTGACAGACATCATTGAGAGTATGGACTGGACTGAAAGACATCGTTGAGAGTAAGGACTGACAGACATTATTGAGAGTAAGGACTGACAGACATCGTTGAGAGTAAGGACTGACAGACATTGTTGAGAGTAAGGACTGACAGACAACGTTGAGAGTAAGGACTGAAAGACATTATTGAGAGTAAGGACTGACAGACATTATTGAGAGTAAGGACTGACAGACATCGTTGAGAGTAAGGACTGACAGACATTGTTGAGAGTAAGGACTGACAGACATCGTTGAGAGTAAGGACTGACAGACATTGTTGAGAGTAAGGACTGACAGACATCATTGAGAGTAAGGACTGACAGGCATCATTGAGAGTAAGGACTGACAGACATCGTTGAGAGTAAGGACTGACAGACATTGTTGAGAGTAAGGACTGACAGACATCGTTGAGAGTAAGGACTGAGACATCATTGAGATGAGAGTGATTGACAGATGTTGTTGAAGACTCAGACATCGTTGAGAGTAAGGACTGACAGACATTGTTGAGTAAGGACTGACAGACATTATTGAGAGTAAGGACTGACAGACATATAGACGACGTTGAGAGTGACTGAGACAGAGTAAGGACTGACAGGCATCGTTGAGAGTAAGGACTGACAGACATCGTTGAGAGTAAGGACTGACAGACATCGTTGAGAGTAAGGACTGACAGACATCGTTGAGAGTAAGGACTGACAGACATCGTTGAGAGTAAGGACTGACAGACATCATTGAGAGTAGGACTGACAGACATCATTGAGAGTATGGACTGGACTGAAAGACATCGTTGAGAGAGTAAGGACTGACAGACATTATTGAGAGTAAGGACTGACAGAGACATCGTTGAGAGTAAGGACTGACAGACATTGTTGAGAGTAAGGACTGACAGACAACGTTGAGAGTAAGGACTGAAAGACATTATTGAGAGTAAGGACTGACAGACATTATTGAGAGTAAGGACTGACAGACATCGTTGAGAGTAAGGACTGACAGACATTGTTGAGAGTAAGGACTGACAGACAACGTTGAGAGTAAGGACTGACAGACATCGTTGAGAGTAAGGACTGAAAGACAACGTTGAGAGTAAGGACTGAAAGACATTGTTGAGAGTAAGGACTGACAGACATCGATGAGAGTAAGGACTGACAGACATTATTGAGAGTAAGGACTGACAGACATTGTTGAGAGTAAGGACTGACAGACATTATTGAGAGTAAGGACTGACAGGCATCATTGAGAGTAAGGACTGACAGACATCGTTGAGAGTAAGGACTGACAGACATCGTTGAGAGTAAGGACTGACAGACATCGTTGAGAGTAAGGACTGACAGACATCGTTGAGAGTAAGGACTGACAGACATCGTTGAGAGTAAGGACTGACAGACATCATTGAGAGTAAGGACTGACAGACATCATTGAGAGTAAGGACTGACAGACATCATTGAGAGTATGGACTGGACTGAAAGACATCGTTGAGAGTAAGGACTGACAGACATTATTGAGAGTAAGGACTGACAGACATCGAACATGAGAGTAAGGACTGACAGACATTGTTGAGAGTAAGGACTGACAGAACCAGGACTGACCTATCGAGAGTAAGGACTGACAGGCATCATCAAAGATGGCATACACAGCTTTTACACCGACTTAATCAAACTTGAAGGTAAAAACTATTATCATTATTTTTCCTTATCCTGACTCATGCTTATTGCTTGTCTTCTTCTTCTTGCGAACATAGTGGAACACGTGTATCTCCCAATTGAAGTTCCCTTCAATAAAAAATCACTAATTAGTACTCGCGAGTTACCTCCCTTCTACAAGCCCGGGAACGAGGGCGCCACCTCAACCCATGTGCCTCACTCTCTCCTTCTTCGCCCAGTGAGCTGGACACGAGAGCACCTGTGTCTCCCGACACACTATATCCTTTATTTATATTTAGTTTAGTACCTCTTATATTCATTTATAGAGGTGTTACTAGTATCCTTATTCAATTTGCATTGATTATTAGTCGTGTTTCTGCTGTTTTATTCACGGTTCGCCGTGTTTGTTCAGCAGTTTACGTTAATGAGAATCTACACAGGTTGTAAACTACGTTATTCAGCTACCGATCCACATTTAAAATGCCCTAGTTGCATTACTCCATGTTCTATTGTTTCTCGTTGTAAATTATGTATTAATTTACCAATTTCTGCCTTTGATAAATATCTATGTTCTGTTTTGAGACGGAAGGCAGATAAATCTCGCAAACAATCTTCAGTCATGGCTAATAGATCGGAAGCTAATATACCCTGTCAACTGTTGACTGACGACCCGCCACCGGCTGGTGGCCTGCCTGAGTTCCCTCGGGGGATAAGCGTGGGACGCAGTCCGCTATGTCCAAGAAGCGACCTGCATCTCAAGACATTACGTCTTCTCAGTCTAAGACTAGGAAAGCATCCACATCATCTCAACATACGCTTCGAACCCCCAGGTCCACAGCTTCGTCAAAAGGGAAATCTACAAAAGCTACAAATAATTTTGCCACCGATATTCTACCTGTCTCAGAATTATGTTTATATGATGACAACATTCCGATTATCATTCCAGATGTACGTCATAAGAAATGTCCAGTATCTGCTACAGTCAACACAGCGCAGATCAATACGCAACCAGAGATGCCTACGCTGACGCCGGAGATTATGATTGAGGGTCCCGTCACTTTAACAGAGAGGCCACCCTCAACGTCAGCGCAGACCGTCCCAGACGACCTGGTCAACCAAATCATGAGACTGATGGAGGACCGTTACGGTTTACAGAGGCCCCAGAGCCACGGACCCTAGAGCCCAACCCATACTAAGTCATACAGGGCCCCAGAGCCCGCCTAGGCTTCGCGTAGGGCCCCAGAGCCCACAAACGCGCCTCCGCGAAGGGCAACCCAGCCCGTAGCGATCACTTCGCAATGGAAGTCCCAGGCCGCCTCCGCGAAGGAGCTAGAGCCTCACCAGTTGCGAGGGACATTGCGGAGAAGGAGCGATTCGACGAGCCCACACCCTGTTGAACACAGAGGTCATTCGCGAAGCAAGAGCTCATATGTCGATACGGACACTGACTCGATACATTCGCGAAGGTCGCGAAGGCTAAGTGGCTCCAAATCTACCTCACCCAGAAGATATAGAAGAAGTCCCCAGCGTTCGCCGAGGATGTCTCCTCCAAGGTCTCCTTACACTAGCCACTCGTCAGTCCGTTCATCACAGTCCTCTCATAGATCTTCCTATAGATCTAGGACTCCGACATGTGACCCTACGTCAGAAGAGGAGGAAGGTATCATTTTCTCAGATGCTGAGATTAGATACTGGATGGTGAATGAGTTACAACTTGCTTTCCCATCGAAGAACGAGAATTCAACTCAGACTTACGTCATGAAGGATGATGATGTAGATAATTTCACCTTACCTCCTGTTGACCCGATTGCAGCGGTACCAGCTAATCTGGATACAGCCTGCTCCAAATCTTCGAAAGCCCAAACGCAGATCTGCAGACAATTTCAATTATGGAATTGAACAGCAGCCTTGTTACAGCGAGTAAAACTCATAATCGTCAACGATTTCCTGAGAAGAAATATGTACAACAAGTTCAGCTTTAATTCTAAAATTATGACGATACATTCATGTACACAGTCTACAAGCTGACAACTTGCAAGTTTTATTGAACCTTTATATAAGGAAGTCGGAATTATCTTCAAGACTGAAGTTACTTTCACGACAGCCAGGAAAATAACCTACCCAGCATTAATATTACAGAGCGAGGTATTTCGCGCCGGAGGTTTCGAGCGTTTACCATTAACCCTCGAAACACGTGGTCACTCGG